AAGTTGCTCCAGGGGAGGTTTAGATTGGATGCAAGGAAAAATTTCTTTACTGAAAGAGTGGTTAAACATTGGAACAGGCTGCCCAGGGAAGTGGTTGAGTCCCCATCCCTGGAAGCATTTAAAAAGACATGTAGATGAGGCGCTTAGGGCATGGTTTAGTGGGCATGGTGGTGTTGGGTTGATGGTTGGACTCGGTGACCTTAGAGGTCTCTTCCAACCTTAATGATTCTATATCACTATTTGTTCCCCTTGTGTACATCTTCAAGTACCAGAATCCAAGTGTGTTATAGTGTCACATGCAAACCAGATTTTTAGTTGGTTGAGTTTGCATTAGACATCCAAGGGTACTTGTGCTGGCACATGTTCTCCGAGACTGAGTGTTCCCCATGTGAGGTCTCTTCCAACCTTAATGATTCTATATCACTATTTGTTCCCCTTGTGTACATCTTCAAGTACCAGAATCCAAGTGTGTTATAGTGTCACATGCAAACCAGATTTTTAGTTGGTTGAGTTTGCATTAGACATCCAAGGGTACTTGTGCTGGCACATGTTCTCCGAGACTGAGTGTTCCCCATGTCCAAGACAGGTCTCACACTATCACTCTTCAGGTAGAAAGAAACAGCTGCTTTCCATGCTCAGCAGTACACAGGGTTGTCTAAGCCTTGATATGTCTGCTTATTTAAAATCTGAAGCAGCTCCAAGACAACACCAATACCACCAACTAAAGCATTCACTCCCAATAAAGACAGCTGAGGGAGATTTTAATCTCAGGAGAGCAAAAGGAAACAGAATCAATACTGGAACATAGCTGGTTCATGAACTAACAGATAAGACTGGAAACATCAAAAAGCTGAGCAAAACCAAGTATCCTAGTTCTTTGCCACTTGACATGGAAACTGAGGCTACAAACTGTATCACCACAAAAACAAAGACATACTCAGCAGTAAGTATTCATCAGTTACCAGCACCAACTTCTAGGAGTCTCCAAGGGACTCAGAAAGAACACTTTATGTATTTAAGGCTCAGTGGTGTCCAGCAGGATTAAATAGAAGACCTTGTGATAGCTAGTATAAACAGCTAGGCTTTAAGGAAGGATTTGACAACACTCAGTTTGCTCCCATGCTGTCAACTCTGTAGAACAAGATGAGGAGAGAGTTATGTTGCTTGGGTAGAGATTTCCACCAGGGCTCTCATATTGGATCACTGGATCTCATAAGGATCAACACATTCCTGCAAGTGATGATCAGACTCAACTATGAAAGAAAAAGATAATCAAGCCTGGAGTACGTTCCAGTTTGTTGGATTGTTCCAGGCATCAATTTAGCTCAAGCACAATGTGGATAGGAGTAGTAACTGCTAAAACTACAGCCTTTTACCTCATATTTACTTCTCCCTCTGCAAAAACTTGCAGGGAAGCTGCTTAGGAAGGCTTGCAGGTGTTATGAAAAGCGGTGCATAGCTAGTTTAAAGAAAAATGCATTAACTTTACACTGTACTGCTGTAGGCAGAGGCCTATGAAGGGATGATACATGGAAGTTTCAACCAGTTAGTCAAATTACTACCATGCCATGCAAAAATGAACTTCTAAACAAATCTGGTTTTCCAAGTAACCCTTTCAAATTATGGTTATACTACTTTAGGTAATATAAATACTTCCCCTTGCTTCAGGTAAAGGGCATGGTGAACCACTTAGGTATCTCACTCCTTTGTGTTTACTCTTCAAACAAACAGATACCTTAATACCCAAAGAGATGCTTTTAACACAATTCTAGAAAGACATGCCGAGGAAGGGCCTACAGGACACCCAGTAATAGAAAATATCAGTATCAACATCAACAGTGGGCTGGAGGAGCCCAGAATATTACTGAAGAACACTCACAACTTAAGCATTGACAGTTTACTACATGCCAGTGCTGAACCTGTAGTCCCCTCTCATGAAAAGACTGGAAGACTGCTGAGGAGGTAGGATGACCACGACTTAAGAAATTAAACTTACACTTCGAGGAGGCCCACGGCGTCGGCTAAAATAGCCACGTCTATAGCGGCGCCGGTCTGCAGCGTAGCGGCTGCCTTCTACAGGGACTCCATCTGGACCAGTGACATTAGCTGCTTCTGCACCCTAAAAGGCCAAAAGAAAGTAGGTCAGTGTAGTGCAAGAAAAGTTTGCATTAGTTTGCATCAGTTTGCAAGCTACAGAGATTCCTTCCTTCCAAGTAGTTCAAAAGCAGGTCTGTTATTCTCAACCCCGTAACACAAGAGTTATGATCATGAGTTAAGACCCTATCAGCCAGGCTGAGTTCAGAGGAAAAAGGAAGGAGTAACTGATTAAAGACAAACACCACCACCCCCAATCAAAAAAGCTCAGTAAACTCAAAAATGTTTGAGAACATAGAACTGAAAAGAACTTGAAAGTTAGAATCATTAAGGTTGGAAAAGACCTCTAAGATCATCGAGTCCAACTGTCAATCCAACTTCCAACCCAAGTCCAACCCAACCTAAGTTCTTACAGTTATTAAGCTACCAGACTCCAAGACAAATTCTTCAGGGAAATATATGCATCAGTTAATGCTTATTGGGCAGACTGTAAGCTTCAAATGCTCTATCAAGTAAAAATTACAGATTCTAGAAGCACTAGGATGTAGTTAAAGCAGAGTTTTGATACATATCTAGAAACACTTCTTAATGAAGCCTTTAAAAAACAGATCTTCCACAGAACAGCTGTATGAATGCCACCCACCCCAGGAATCCCGATTAACACATTAGACAAAACCACCAGATACACAACTAAAGCTGTGTTACTCCCCACTAGAGTGATGTTAACTCTGTTGGACCACACACCCCTAAGTCTCCATAATCTCTCACCTTCTCTCCCTCGACCACATCAAATTCTACAGTCTCTCCATCACCAACACTGCGCAGATATTTCCGTGGGTTGTTTTTCTTTATCGCCGTCTTTTAAGAAAGAAGATACAGAAAAATATATTAGTTTATCTTACTCATTATCTTACACATTCACAACCCTGTAGGATGAGGGAAGGACAGTATTCTTCTGCTACAATCCCAACTCGACATACCAGATCAGTCACCACACCAAGCTATTTCAAATACATAGATGTCTCTCATTCCACTGGCCCTCCAATACTCAGTCAAGGTTCACTCCTTTCTCAATACTCTGAGTTTATGAAGCAGCTGTTGCTCCAGGATCCTCTCTGTCAAGCCTACTAAATATCCAGATCGTTACATATTTCTCTATGAACAGAGTTCACACTGAGCGTTTGATCTCCTGCAAGCTGTACCAAGGCAGCTCCAGCAGCAAGTGTGACCCATGCCTTCACAGCCATTAGGAGACCTGTAGACCATCTACAGATAACTTCAGACCAGGAGCAATTTTGTAGAAGATGGCATTACCTGTAAGGTAGCATGGCAACTCATAGTATTTAGAGAACAATTACTAGAACTCGTGTAACATAAATAAGCATTTTACCTAAGCACTGTAAGGGAGACCCCCAAAAATTAGGTGAGTCCCTAAGGAACACACGAATAGTACCAGAACACACGAATAGTACCAGAACACACAATCTCAGTCATATTTTCCAGACAGAAACCCCAAAATAATATTAACAACGTGGCTTCAGATCAAAACCTGTTGAAAACCTCCTCAGACTCACAGGAACACTCAAACCTCCTGGAGCCATTTTTCAGCCTGTCAACTACAGATGCCTTTCTCTCCATGGAGTATTTCTAGAATTCCACAAGAGGCAGTTAGCAAGACAAGCCTACTAGCTGTTCATTAGGTAAGGGTTCACAAACTGGAAGAGGCCAGGGGAGAAAAAAAACAAAACCAAAACACACACATTGTACAAGCCAATCTAGTAAACAGTTTTTTACTGAAGTTCTTAGATTATTAAAGACCAATGCACTTAAAGTTTTCTGATATGGGCATCTTTTGTTAGCATGAAGCAGGCAGGTGCAGATCCAGTAGACAGAAGCACACAGGGCACAAATCTGGCTTAAGAAATGGGATGCAGGGCAGAAACAGAAGAGACAGTTGTCATATCTGTCTGCAGCTCAAGAAAAACAAGCAGAATGAAGATAGTTGAGTTGTTGCCCATGCATGGCAACTATAGTCATTCAGTCAACAATAGCTCAAAAATATTTCCCACTGAAGGAAAAGTTCTAATCAGTTTAAAGTTGAGCTTGACCAGTTTAGGAAAAGTATTCTCATTGTTGCTGAATACAGTCCCCTTTGTGTTTTAGGCAATAGGCCAGTATGTCCTTTTAGCCCTACATCTAGCCACACCTTTCCCTGTACCCTGCAGCATCCCTGAACCACTTATGGAAGAATGCAACAGTGTACATATTATTGCTACCAAAACAAAAACAACCCAAGAGTGTGTTTTTTGATACAGGACAAGAATGAGCTGCTCAAGTGAATTCTTTTGGGAATTACTTTACAAAGCAGCAACTCCCACCGTCAGCTGAGACAGCTTTGTTCGCTTTCTGCTGACCTATTAGTGTAACTGCCCCATTTCTAAAACCAGCTGGAAGTGCTAGCTCTTCCATAAACATTATATACCAATACTAAAATCATTATCTTCACTGCAGATTAAGGGTTTAGTTCTTTCACCACCACTTATACTGAGACAACTGACTCAAACTCATAAGACCTGTGCTCTGCATATGACAGAGATGTCAACAAGCTGTATTTCAAACTCCTTCCCCTTCCTTGTAAGTGCAGAGGAAGAAAGGACTACCAGATTTCTTTTCAGCAGAGGGTGTGCTTAAGATTAATCAAGCTCCTCAAGCATCCTCCAAGAAGGCTAACAGAAGATAAATTTGATAGGATTCCACATGCTCTGTTCCAGCTTTAGGGACAGAAACTTCAAAGTTCAGATTTGCAATGAATAACCTGCCAACAGGAGATAGAGGCTGCCACACAGTAGGCTGGGGTTCATTTTATAAAGGCAACCAGGAACAATTCTGAGTAAGTCCTAGAATTCAGAGCAGAAACTATACACCTTTACTACTTACTACTTCAGCTGCAGGTAAACATTGCTGAAATAAGCCCCTAACAAGCCTAAGCTCTAAGCTTGATGAAGACTTTTACTCTGTATATACAGAGTAAAAGAGAGCACTATTCTCCATTACCATTCACCAGCATCCCGCAGGCTCCAGCTTCTTTAATTAAAAACACAGATGTTTTGTGTTAACACAGACAGCACTCAACAATTAAGACAGAGCCTTTCCTTTCCCAAGGGGACACCAACAAACAGACAGGTGTAAGAGCCTTCAGAGCTAGTTCAATATTTTGTCTGGAAGAGTTCTTTCCATATCCTCATACTATCACCACATCATGTGCACATCCAGCATCATCACAGCAATAGCCAAAATTTGTTACACCAGTTACCGGTGCACATACACCAGGCTGTGCACAATTAATACAATCCAGTGAAGTCAAGAAAAAGAAAGACCAGAAGAGATTAACTCCTCCTCACTGCTTGTTGATTCAAACTATGCCTAATCAAATCAGACTTCTCTGGCTACTGACACTTTTAATGGTGTTAAATTGCAAGACCTTCCTCCCCTCAGACACACTCCACCCCGCAAGGCGGTTCAATCCCTATTGCTCACACCACCTCTAATTGACACAGTGCCCTAGGCACTGTGCATGCAGTTCATGCACCTTGCATGAACCAACTGGACAAGGATGCAAGCAAGATGAAGCAGGTGAAGAACTGCCCTTCCCCAAAACACTGCTTGGGTCCCCCGCAAGACAAAGGGTTAATTCAAAGCAAGCCATGCATGCCCTAAAGAGAAAAGCATTTTAATCTGTACTAGGTTTATAAATAGCATCCAATAGCCAGACGCGGAGCGTTAACCCCCCATTCCAATCATGAGATCGGCCTGTTCCCTCCCTGCTGCGGATGCATGCCGGGGAGGCAGGGAGGAGGCTGTATCTATTCAATTAGGTCAGCCTTATTCTGAAGGGATTAGGCATGTAATCCAGCCCCTCCCGGGACGGGCGCGGGGAGGAGGGGCAGAACCAGCACTAACCATGGAGAGGGAGCTGACAGCAGGATGTTTGCTTACGCAGTGGATTTGCCTCCCTCGCCGGGCGGGCCCCATCCGCTGGCCCTGCCGAGCCAAACACTCAGGCAGGAGCTCCAGCCAGAAAGCCCCAGGCTGTGGTAGCGAGCACGTTCATGTACAGAACAGCTCAGGATGGAAGAGCTGAGGAACACCTGATTGCAGCCAACCAGGCCAGAGCTAGAAGCATCTACTCTGCCATACACAGCCCACCAACAGGGTTAATCAGATGCAAGCTTGCACGTGATGTGGTATTTCTGAAACATCAAGCCAGTTTTGCTTAGTGCTCACTACAAGAGGATTTCACCCACAGGAGACGAGAAATAAGTTCCACACACACACCAGTTTACATTTAGGTGAATAATCTCCACAGGCGAAGGAGACAAAACAGCACAGATAGTACTAGCTTGCTGTGGGCCTTCACTGTTTGGGTCTCCGCAGGCAGCCTTCCCAAGCAGAATAACAACTGATCCAGTTATCTGTCATCAGCACAACAACCATTTTCCAGGATATCTTCTCACAGGTCTCAGGAAGACCTCATTTGTCTTCAAGGTAGCTTTACAGTGCTGCCTATCCAGAATACATTTCTGCTACTAGAACTCTTCCCACCTTCCTCTGGATGCGTTCCCATCAGGCCGCAGGTACAGCATCTGTATCAGTGTGCACACAGCACACAGTCATTAAGGAAGGAAGGTGACCATTAGAAATTGGTACATGCATTGAGAGCTCTTGCTCCCAGTCCACTAACTGAACTGGGAATGTGTACTGCGCGCACTTCCTGACAGCTTCACTCATTACAGGCACTAGACTTGCTCACTCCCAGCTCCATCCGTTTCAGGGATAATGGGTCTATACCCCTTGACCCAGAGAAACAGTTGTTATCACAGGCTATTTAGTCACAAAGCCACAAAAACTAAACTAACTCTCGATGTTGACCAGCATATTTAACATAACTACACACGCATATATCCTTGTCCTCTGTGACGAACTCTGAATGCAAGTTTCCTGGTTACATTTGACAGAAATACTGCTACTTATGCCACAGAGAAAGCTCATGCTTTTAAGAATCACATGGGCCTGCAGACATTTCATATGGGACAAGCTCCAGGGGCAGTATTTCATTTTCTGGTGAAGTAAAAGTCTCAGATGATGCAAAACCAGATCTAAGCCAACTACTCAGTTTATATCAGCATGGAGACAGCATCCCCTGTCTTCCCATTAGTTGCCTGTGACCCGAGAGTCGCAGTATAAACTTAGAACAGGCTACTGACAGTTCAAGGAAAGTTAACCAATGACAAGCCGCTGGGCAACATGTCTCTGCTTGGGCACACTTGGCACACAGCCTTCCTCCTCTTCTTCCTAAGAGCAGCTGCCTCATGCAGCAACAGCTGATGGTAACCCAGGCTGGTCAAGAGCCAGACCAGATCACTTTCTCTCCAATACCAGGGAGGGCAGACAGAACAGACCTGCAAACGAAGAGGGTAGGAAGAAACAGAAGACACAAGGAGCATGAGGAAATGGGGGGGTAAGGACAGACAACAAGTAGCAAGGTATTTACAAAACAGAGGAGTCCTCTCCCCAGGGAAGGGACAACCAAATAAAACAAACACACACCAAAAAACCCAAAAAAGCTTTAGTGTTCACATCAGAGCAGACAAAAGAAAGCAAGAAGGGTTATAATACCTACTCCTTCAGTTATAACTCCAGAGAGAAGGAAAACATACCCTAATATTCCTCCCTGAAAATTTCAACATACATGTCCATTCAAGGTATTTGTGGTAAATATTCTAAGAAGCCAGGACAAGGTTGGGTGGCTATTTCAGGAAGTTGCATCAGAAACCTATCATAGTGCACATCTCTAAGTACAACTACTGCTGTCTTACCTGATGAACAAACACGTCTTCTTTGGTATCATTTCTGTGAAAAGAAAGTGAGAAGTCATAAGAGTTTAGACTAAGAGACTTAAATAGAAATCCTTGACTTCACAAGTGAAGCCCTCCTTCCCCCAGCCTGTAGTACATCCCCTGGATTCCATACATTCTGTGTAAGTCTATGCTACCAAGACCCTGCTCTGAATTTCCAGGGTCATATGCTTGACAGCAGAAAGGACTCCCCAGCCTTCAGAAGGGTGAGGGGACAGGGGGAGGTTCTCTGTAATCTTCTGGCAAATGTTCAGTATTTTGACACAGGGCAGAGTTAATGACTGGACTGCTTGCCCTTCACTATTCCACCCCCCAAAAAAAACTTCCACAGGGGCTGCAACCTGAGCTGTTACCCCAGAGGTCAAGCAAGACTATCAACAGGACTGGCCACAGCTGTTAACAAAGCTCTCCTTTCAGTGAAACTCAAAGCAACCATGCACAAGAGGTGTTAGGAGAGTCCATTGGAGGGGGACCCAGACATGAACATGAGGTTGTCTGGATTAGGCCAGCTAGTTCAGGCTTCCGCATGCAAAACATGAAGACAGGACTGAGACCTTGATTCTGTGTTCCCATACAACAGAAAGAGCCTAGACCCTGCTGTCTGTTCACTCCATTCCTTCTCTGCAGAGGGAACAGGTGGGTCAAAGAGTTTGTGAAGTATAATGCATAATCCAAAACTTGTTGCACTGGACTGACATAATAGTACACTTCAGTTTAGGAAGAAAGCTAACAAGTTATTACACTATATCCAGCTGAAGGCTCTCACATCAACTGCTATGAAAGACTTTAAGAGTACTTCCCAATTCAAGCTTTTCTTCTAAGCTTACATAACACTGGATAGTAGTCTTCAGAGACTGGGATTAATACTGCACCAGAACTGGCTTCAGATCTGTGAAACAGGGCTCTTCTACCCCTTTCTACAGCATCTAACTTACCCAAATCTACCTGCTGTGTAACAGTTCAAGGACTTGCAGGACGAAATAACTTGCCAGGTATGTCTTTTGCAAGACAAGTGTTCACCACCCAGGAGGTTCATTTTTCATAAAGCACACAAAACATTTAAGCCCCTTAACCCCACAGATACTTCAGCCTTAAAAGCCAGAGTTTTCTCCAGTAACTTGGAAGTGTGGGTCTTGTGCACCTAGGGTTGGAGTGTGATCAGTATCACTTACAGCTATTTGGATTATCGATGCCATTCAGAGGTTTGTTTGTGTTCAGAGGAAAGGGGGGAAAAAAAAAAAGATACAAAGAGAATTTCTGTGAAGATATTCCAGGCTTGGGTTCAGTTAGATGATATCAGAGAATCTCAATGTGTATTTAGAGTATGTATTTTGAGCAATCAGTTAACACTTGAATTTTTAGCCAAAAGTATTTCCCCTCATCCTCCAACCTTACTTGCACCTTTAAAAAAAGCCAGGCAGTCATGAAAGAACATACAGCTCATTAAAGGTGTAGTACAAGTAAACATGAGAAACTAGTAACAGACCAAATCTGTAATGAGTCGACCCTTTCTGTTTTCTCCCCATATACACAACCTTCAATGGAAGGGGGGGGGACACACACACGGGGGGGGACGAGTCCCATGAGATGACATCCGAGTTTGTTGAATGCCTGGCCAAATCTGGCTATCAACTGCATGAACTTGTAGTCAGGTCCTCAGGTCTCTGCTGCAATTACTAACGCATAGCATATTATCTGTACCATGAGTCTTAGTACAGTATAAATATGACTGTCATAATTTAAACATACCTGTTGATAAAGCCATATCCATTTCTGACATTGAACCACTTGACTGTGCCAAGAACTTTGGTGGCTGGAAAGAAAAAGTTAAAGTTGTTACTCTAAAACATAATGAAGTACAAGAATGTTACAAAAATACTTTTATACCTGCGTATGAATTCACAACCAGACCTATTCTGCTCCCTTAACACTCAAAGCGTACCTTCATCTCCCACTTCAGTTTATACTAAACACAGTAGCAGGAAGCAGTGCTTTCACTTGCTATTCTTCAGCCAAAAGTTTATCACACAGCATCTGAAAATAGAGCTAGACTTCATTCTAGAACTGGCCATCCATGCCTTCTCTTTTTTATTTCTTATCCCAGAAACGGGCAGTGAAGCTGAAAATCCCACTGCCATTCATCAGTTCTCTTTAGCTTAGTAGCTAGACATGAAACATAGCTGAAGAAAGCTGTTTAGAAGTCCTCTCTTTCACTCAGTTTTCCTTCCTTTCTTCCCTGGAAACCAGAACTGGCCAAAGAAGCAGTATCAAGCACCACGCAACACTTTCAAGTGGAGAGGCAGCACATCCTTATTTTGGACAAGCTCGCTCTTGCATTGTCAACATCACTCTAACCAAACAAGACCCCACAAGATGTTGGTTTGTTTTTTGTTTTTTTTTTTTAATATTCCTACTTCCTAGAGATCGTCTGTGATTTACCAGTTACAAACTGACCAACTTTATGTTCCCAGGCTTCTAGGATCAAGACAAGCTCCTGTCTCAACACCAAAACAGCATCTTACTTAGAAGCCATACTGCCGTGTCTTATAGGATCTGGCAAAACCTGTTCCTCCAACATATAGGTACGTGTGGGAGGAACTCAATGGCAATGGAGGTAGTTCAACCTCTCCTTCCCTCTCAGCAACTGGGTGGAGACCACAAACTTGTACTTTTCAAACCTGTAGGAAAGGGAGAATTTTAGGCTCTAGACTCACTTAGATGTTACTTATTACATAGCATGACCACAACTATCTAAGCAATCAACATAGTACTTATTTGAAAAGGGTCTAGTCACCTACAGATGACTGCTTGTTAAAAACCTTACACATTTGGGGGGTGGGGGGAAAGAACCCAAACGGCAATTAAAAGGAAAACAGTCTAGAGACAGTCTCCAGTTCAGAAGTCCAAGCCAGCCTGCTAGAGGCAAGAATACACTGCAAATTGTTACCTTCATCTGCTCTACACCTGCATTCTTCCCTAAACATCCACTAGGAGATGACAGAGCTAGACAGACCTTTGGTCTCACGCAGTCTTGCCATTCTTATATACCCCTCTGACAGACAAAAAGAGCAACTTTTTCCTCCTCCCCTGAATACAGCGCTAAAGTAGGAATGTTTGCTGACAGCAGTCCATTGTAGTACTGTTGCTGTTATTGAAAGTAATAACAGGCCATTTCTCATTGCACTTTTAGAAGTGAATGTTTTGGTCATCTTTAATACAATGTTTTAGCAGAAAATGGTCACAGAAGAAACAAAACCATGTTAAGACTGAGACAGTTATTAGAGAAAACGGCTCTACCTAGTACAGCATCCATTCCCAAGACTTCCTGTTTACAGAGATAAACCCCCTAAGTTTCACTGCCTAGCACTGATTCAGTAACAATAACAGTCTTCAGCATCAACATTTATAGTTGTGCTTTTAGGTTTAGTTTCATGAGGACATCACTAGGTACAGACACTTATTGCTACCACAAAGGCACTGGCTACATACAAGAGCTCACTGCCCTAGGACAAGTCAACAGGGGAAGGGGGGGGGATGGGGACACAGAAACAGATGCCAATGGCACATGCAGGTTTTAGCCTGCTTTAAGAAACAAGGCTAATACCACTGATTCCCCCACCATCATCCTTTCCCTCCCCCACAAAATAGCTATTGAATCCATTGGCCTATTTCAATCAGATTAGGAAGAGGGTGAGAAACTAGGAAGCCTGATGAAAACTCTCAGAGGTGTCAGAAAGCTGGTGGAAGGAGAGGTAGTCAAAACTCAACTCTACATGGCCAGCTGGCTGCCAATAAATGGAAGTCCACACACACAGCTTCAGAGCAACACTGCTCCTTTTGCACAAGCTGCCAGAGAACAGAGGTGAGTCTCCGATATATTCCCTAAAACAGCGTACTGGGGAAATACCATTCCCTACCTGCACTAGCCTTACAGTCTCCCCTAAGCATTACTGGGGGGTGGGGCAGGGAGATCATCAGATGCAATAGCATGACACTGAACATCCACGTGGCCATGGTGAAGCCATTGTTAAGCCTGAGCTATCATAGCAGGGAAACGAGGCAAGGAGGAGGACAAGCCCAGAGAAAACCATAACCAGTTTTACTGACGAATCAGAGAAGGCAGTTGATGTGATGACGCCTATCCCACCAGCAAGTGAAAGCCCCTATATTTCTACAAGATGCTTGTACTCTGATGCTATCAGAGGAAACAATCATCAGCCACTCCCACTCATGCCAAAATAGCCTTTTCATCAGTTTTAACAAGGAAAGCCAAAGCTTCCTGTGACCAAGAGAGACAAGAAAGTTGACTAATCTTTATCCTTATTCCTAGAAGTCAGACATTTGGATGCCCTGGGCAAGCATCAGACCTTGCTTCTAATGAGATCTTTGTAAGAGGAGACTTAAGTGAACGTAATTACAAGACCATTAACAGGGACATTTGAGGTGGACTTGAACATAAGTCCATTTTCAATTAGCATTATCAATGATCATTTTCCTTACAACTCCTGCTGAAAAGCTTGCCTAGCAATAAGGCCAGCGTGCAAAACCATCACCATGGTGGTTTTCTTTTTCCTGCTAGACCAGGAAAGGCACCTGTGCCTTCACTTTTTGTTTTTCCCCTCTCCAAGCAATAGCAATAGGCAAACAAGATAAAAACACTACCGAGAATGAAACAAGCCATGTTAACGCAAGAAGCAGCCAGACGTACCAACAGATATGGATGTGCCTTGACTGATTACTGACAAATCAGACAACAGAACAGGGGAAAAGTCACACAAACCACACCTCCCATTTCTGTTTTGCTAGAATCCTTCCTACCTCAGCTCCGGAGAGATCCTTCACCTGGCTCCTTTATCTGCTGCCTCAGTCCTTCCCTTCAGAAGGGAAGATGCTGTCTTTCCTTAGTGAAGTTCGGGACTCTGCACTATTAGTCAGCCTCAGCTTTGCCTTACTAACCTCTTAGAGTTACTCAGTTATAAACAGCAGATCCCCGTTTCCACTGCAGACTGAAGTCTTGTCCTTTTCAACAGGTTGATCCTGTTTAATCACCATAAAAACCCCACACTGGCTATGCACTGAGCTTGAGCACAGAGATGGCAACTTGGCATTTCCCTTGCCTCTTTATTAATAACTGAAAAAAACCAACACACTAATCCTACAGCAGTATTCTTTAGAGATAGGAAAGTTGTGCAAAGACCTTAAGATTAAAAGGGGGGCACACATGGTTTACCAGCAACCCTTTCAAACGGGAGATTGCCCTGCAGGGCGCGGGGTCGGCGGCAGGTGCCGGGAAGCCCATCAACATGGCTGCGCCTCACTCGCCATCCCCGCCCGGCCCCGGAGAAGCGCCCG